CCTTCGGGCTAGCCATTGAATTCTGTAGAGAACTGTAATTGGCGTTCGTCCAAATTGTTTAATGAACGTTCGTTCCTTTGACTGGCAGTGGTGTTTTTTTTTTGAAATCAATTATATTGGATTGGTTTATCTAACATTTTCTTACGCGGGTTTTATCCTTGGATTCTACCTGGATTCTTTACCTTCAAATATTTCTAAGTAAGCATCCATATCTTTAAAGATCCAGTAATTTTCAAAGTTATGATTGTTTGAACGTGTTAATTGAATAAATGGTTTCGTTTCCCTTTTGTTCATAAACGAGATGTAGGAGTACTGTAACATGTAGTCCTGTTATTAAGTGATGAATGTTGGGATTAAGAGAGTGGAAACACGGAATGAAAATTGAATCAGTGACACTGTTTTTAATATGGTGAAGGAATATGTTGAACGATTATTGGAACTTGGATTTTATTAGCGGTCCAAGGAGAACGTTTTTGATATGATTGATTATTTGAGTTTTTGTAAAGTATGACTGTGGGCATGCTAATGCTGGCTTGGTCCATCCTGATATTCGCTGATACTCATCTTCACGTAGAAGGGAGTAGTCATCGTGGGAATGGCAGGAGACTCTATTCTTAGAGGTACTTTGGATGGGTTAACCTCGAGTGCAGCTGTCGATGTAATACAGTTTACCAACACCCTCGGGTGGCAAGGACGCCTGTAGTACACGTTCATACAGTCTCGACGGTCTGTCCGTTTATACGTATCTATATGATTGTTTAATTGGAGCTTTACATGTGACATGTGTTGATTGATATGTACTGTATGTGTGATTTTTAAATTAAATATATAAGCTTCCCTTGCATTTCTTTGTGTTGTGCTAATGTCCATGTACTAATCCGTCTTGTTCGAAATGCAATGATCATCCGTTGTGGATGTGAGCAGATGGTGGTGCATCCCTTGAGGCAAGTCTGGAAGAAGAAAATTGAGGATGCCAACCTGTGGACGTGAAGTAAATTGGAGCAGTAGGGATTAGTTCCGTAGTATCACAGTAGTTAATTTTGGGTGTGTGTATTCTGGCAGCCGTTATATAATTCTGCAGATTTTGTTCCTGTAGATCTGTTTTGTATATTTTGCTAAAATTCTGACACTGTAACTCTACTTGTAAGTTACTGTACAGTACTGTTTATTTTATTAAGTGCTGTTTTCTTTTGGAGCAGCTGTGTAATTACGCAAAGACTGTTTCTGTTACTGTTATTGTGATAAATCTGAATTATAGTATTACTGTATTTGGATGTTACAGATATTTGAAAGATAGTTTTAGAATTAAAAATACATTTCTTAATACCCAATTCAAAATATACAAATATTTTTTAAATTAAATATTTTAAAAATGTTTTCTCAAAACATCCAATCTAAAATATAAATATACATCATCCATCGTAAGGTTCTAAATCTAGAAATAGTTAACACTTAATCCATAATGAAGAAAAGTAATATATTCCAAATTGAATGTTTCCAAAACTATTTTCACGTCTAAAAATATTTTTTCAAATACACAATTTGGAAAGTTACATGTTTGTGTCAAGATGTTATAAAATAAATCTTTATTAACATATTAATTGCTTCAAATAAAAAATATTTTAACACATATTTTTTATAATTTGACACAGTTTTTTTTATTAGATTTAGAATACATGGATATAATAATAAATAAATAAAAAAATATGTGTGAAAATATATTTTTTGGGCGAGAAATGTCTTATTCCCCTTGTGCCTTTTGCTGGTTTTGCAATGGGCAGAGGATAATAGTGATTCTGCGAGGTCTTCATGTTCTTCATCCACAATGGTGTTGGCTAGAACCCACTCCAGGAAGCATTTTCTAACGCACCTCTTATCTCAGCCACGTCCTTCTTTGACTTCACCAACGCACCCCAATATCTAATCTAAAACATATAAAGAAATATATTTTGAATTAAGTATTTTAAAAAAATGAATTTAAAAATATATCTTTTAAAACTTTTAATAAAAAATATTAAAAATAAATAAAATGCAGGGGTTACTTTTACTTTTTTAATTTAATTTTATTTAGGAACAATTTAAAAATTACTTGTTTTTTTAAAAGTGGAAAATGTTGAGACAAAATCACGATGTCTAGCAAACCAAGTTTTCAAGCATATCAAACAACACTCAAAAAATATTGCTTATAAAGAAAAGTGTTTAAAAAAAGAAAATGTTTTCCAAATAAATCATGTAATAGATGATATGTGTAACAAACAATATTTTACAAAAAACGTCTGAAGGCCTCAGGTCAACACGTTACAAAAAACGTCTACAAAGTGAAGCGTTTCTCTAAATTTAAAGTTATGTTTTACTCATGCAACGTTGTATCAAGTAGACATCATATAAAAACGTATCATCTAATGAGAGCCGATAAACGATATCGAAAAACATATATAATTGTCCAATCAATGGAATGTCTAAGAAGAAAGGAAGGATAAAAGATAGATATCTTATCAAGAGAAATGTTACTTAGAGTAGCGCTAAATGATAAGAAAACTCCTAAGAGAGTATCTTAATGACAACTAAACGCTATAACCTTTAAAAGAAGCAACTAATGTTTTATCTAATGATACTACATGTTGTATGTTTTACCATCAAACGATACATTAATTAAAAGACATTGACATATACAAGAATGCTTTGAACACATAATGTACCTAACAATCATCAACGAATAAAAAATTTAATACTAGATATACAAAAAAGTGTTTTTGTGCTTACATACTTTGTTCTCTTTATTTATGCAGGAAATTACAGCACCAACCTTTATCCAAAAGCTCTAAACAAAGAGACATCGAGAAACACTCATATTAAAAATTTGTACCAGTTAGAATTGACTAGGGAACCAAGAGTAATTGACAATACTTGGATATCTAGAGTGATCATAATATTCAACAACCAGGAGTGGTAAAACATGGACTAGTCAAGATTGATTAGAGAACCAAGAGTGATTTATAATACTTGGACTAGTCAGAATTGAGTAGGGAACCAAGAGTAATTTATAATACCTGGATTAGTCGTGTTGACTATATGTGAATATTTGTGTAAAATTATAAAGGTTATACTCGTGTAATCTTGATAAAAGATTAGTAAAACCTCTTTAAGAGTTCTTAAAGGAGAACTAGCTCAGGTTGAATGAATCAATATAAAATTTGTATTAAATTACTTTCTTTTTTCAAAAACTTTTATAAATCTTTGTGAAACATCGTGGTTTAAACATATACTTGTTTGTTAGTCTTTTGAGAGCCAACTTTTTGTTAATCTTTTTAAACATATAATTTGTAAAAAGTTTTAAAAACATTATTCATCCCCTTTCGAACGTTGTTTTTGTGATTTCACAAGAAAAAAAAATCTGAATAGAAACAACCATACATAACAAAAGAATCCAATTTATCATCTTCTAATCATATAAATCATAATGGTGTCACTCATTCTAAATTATTTTCAAATAAAAATTACTAGAGAGAAGATTAAAATATGAAATTATTGTTATTATTACTATTAGTAATAGAGAAATATCTACCCTGACGTACCTAAAAGAATGATCTTATGTTTGTTTCACACATTCTATTTTTCCATTTTAAAATAATTTAAATAAATTATTTATATCAATTTAAATTACAAAAAGTATTACTTTTCAATAATATTCTCAAATAATGCACTAATAAGCTATACATGTAACAATAAAGAATTAATAAAGATATTTTATCATAAATTTTGGTATAATTAATTATTTTCTTAAAATATGATATTTACTTAAATGCCAAATAAAACAATATAATGTAAATAACTATTGTATTATTAATTTAAATTTACATTAATAATATGATAATTAAAATAGTTAGATGTAAATAATTTTGTATTATTAATTGATTACAAATTATTTTATACAATTTTTAAATTATCATTGTTATTATTATTACTATTATTAGAAAAACACCAATAGGCTTATATATTTTGTGATTATACGATAATGTAACAAATACTTAGAATTTATATTTTTAAAAGTTTTTAAAATAGTTATATGTTTTAGGAATATTTTTGGAAATATAAAAAATAAGGTCACTTGATAATTAATTTGATATTTGAAAGATGAAATTCTGATTGGTAGTCGCTAATTAAGATTTTCATATATTTTAGAAAAAAATCATCTGTTTAGGTATAAATCTTTTAATAACATTTCATACATAAATAAAAGTTTTATCTTTAAACTTAATACTGAAATTGTTTTTACGAAAATTTTAATGGGTACTATCAGTTAGCACATGACCGATTTGGTATTTATTGTTATTCTTATTATTTTCTACTCTCTTCTCAACTGTCTCGCCGTGTTCATCTCGCGTGCATAGCAGTCAGAAAAACACTGCGAGAAAGAAAAGAAGAATCACAGAGGAAAGGAAAAACCCCTTTTGACCATTGCGCTTCCGTTTCTATTTTCCCTATTGATTCTACCGACAAAGCCTTTTTTGGGTTTTTGTCTTCGTCTTGTGATCATTCCTCCTCTCTGGGGTTACGGTTCTGTTTGTGATCAAACCCGATCTTTTTTCCCTTCGCGATTTGGATTCGGATACCCAGTTGCGCTTCTTTTTCTGGGTGTCTTCTCTTTTGGCCAATGTTTCGGTTTTACATGGTGAGAAAGTTTTAAAGGGGATTAATTCTATGTGGGTTTCCTTCATATTGGCCAATCAATGTTGACTGTATCATCAGTGTGGTTATGAAGTAATATGGAAGTGCTCTTTGCGCGGATAACCCATCAACGACAACATCAAAGACAATAACATGTCGTTTTACATTGGTCGCGAGGCTTCTAAGGTTGCTTATTTCTTCCCCATGTTGGTATTATTTTTTCCTTATTTGTGTTCTTGTGTTAATGTTTAATAGGTATTTGGTGTGCGTTTGTGTAGCTATGGAAGAGAATTTGTGCGGAGACAACTACGGAGATCAACCTCCTCGCTGAGAATTGGAAGTACCTTCTCGCTGGTCTTGTTTTTCAGGTTTTTTTTTTTTTTCTATTTTGATCAACCTTAAGCAGGAATTGAGTATAGTTGCTCATTTTGTGGTTCCCCTTTTGTGTAGAAGGTTCCTTTTCTTTTCCTTTGACGAGGATATTAAAATAATATTTGTAAGTGTTTTACGTTTGTTTGATTTGAACTCTTTCATGCTACATGGAGTTCAGTTGTTCATGTTGTCCGTCGGCATGATTAGTGGTATAATTGCGTTTATATATATATATATATATATATATATTTTATTTGTTTCTGTTAAGAATGAATGAGGTATATAATAATGTCGCTTGGTTTAATCACTGAAGCTTATTTTGTCAGAGATAATAAAGTGCCAGAGTTGATGGCTCAGTGTTTTTAATGAGGGAATTCAGGAACTTGCAATCGCTTGAAGCATCTTTTTGTTATATTTTGCAACTATGGTGATTTTGCTTTAGATGATCAGTTATTTGTTCACTCTCAAGAACAAATTTACTTACCCTCGGTTCTCTGAGATACTCTGGATTCTGGGAAGATAGTCAACTATTTCATTTCCATCATTGGAAACATTTAGTAGTTAGCAGTAGTTGTTGAGGTTAGGAGTGAATGAATGAGGTACATAATTCAATCACTTGGTTAATCGCTGGAGCTTATTCGTCAGCAATGACGAAGTGTCAGAGTTGATGGTTCAGTGTTTTATTGAGGGAATTCAGAGAACTTGTAATTGCTTGAAGCATCTTTTATCATATTCTGCGACTATGATGCTTTTACTTTAGATGATCAGTTATTTGTTCCCTCTCAAGAACAAATTTACTGACCCTCACCTCTCTGTGAAACTCTGGGTTCTGGGAAGATGGTCCAATGTTTCATTTCCATCATTGGAAAATTTTAGTAGTTTGCAGTAGTTGTTGAGGTTAGGTATATTGAGTGCATGTTTACATTTAATTAATCTTTTCCATAATTGATTCCAATTGTATTGAAAGCCAAATTAATAAGCGGTTCTTTCCATTCTTTTCAATGTTTTGATGTGATGTCTGGGACCAAAATTGACTCCGGTAGAGTTATGCATAGAACAATGTTATATGAGAAAGAAAAGAAAGGACCAATTTTTGTAAAGCATATGTTTGAGTGTTTCTATTCTTGTCTATGTTATGTATGCATAAAGTGTAACAGTATAGTACTTTGATTTCCTTGGTTTCTTGACATACTATTTATTTCATTGTCTGATGTCTGAATTTAACTGTTCCTCTACAGTATATACATGGTTTGGCTGCCCGAGGAGTTCATTATTTACACAAGCCTGCCCCTACTCTACAAGATGTTGGATTCTTCCTTCTTCGGGTTTGTAATTGCCATGATGTTCTTGCTTTCTCTTGGAAAATCCAGTACAGAGAATGGTAGGAATGCTCTTGTAACTTTTAATCTTGGTGCTGTTACAGGAGCTTGGGCAAGACAAAGCTTACATAAGTGAAACGTTGTTTTCCCTTATCTTTTTATCCTTTGTATTGGTATGAATCCCTCTTTCCCTCTCTTTGTTTCAGTTTCACATGAACTTTTTAAGCCCACCATTTTAATATCTGGTTGGTGGCTCTTTTGATAGTTTATATTTTACCTACCTAAGGCATCATCATAATGATTAAGAATTAGGGACAAGTCTATATTTCACTAAGAACTTTATGTATTTTATATGATAAAATGATAATTCTGAAGGTAAATATTCCTTGATCGTGAAAGTGTGCAATACTGCCACCCCTGGTGTTTCCTTGAAATCAGAAGACTAAATTATTAATATTGTTTACCATTGTCGCTTTGAGATGCTTGAAAAGTTACTCTCGAGTTATTTGTACTGTCTGTTGACTTAAGAATGATGATTTGTTCGAAAATAAAAGGAACGACAGAAAATAAATTCAAATATATATTTCCTTATTTTGGTTTGAAGTTTTGTATAGAGTTTTAGTACCAATTTCGGTGAAGGATTGTTTTTTTCATGATTCTAATGGTTTTATTCCTATTAAATATTTTCTTGATATTTTCTACTACTGCAATATTTGACATATATAATTCAGCATTTCCTTATTTCAGTTCTTATTTTCCTTTTTGGCTACTGTGACTTATTTTTGTGAATTTCTCATTTCAACTAGTTTGATATTCATTTATTTCTTTTTGTCTGAAGTTTCAAATATATTCTTTTATGTGTGGTTTTGCAGTGGACATTTCATCCTTTCATATTCAAGAGCAGAAAGATCTACACAGTTGTCATATGGTGCAGGGTTTTTGCATTTTTAGTTGTAAGTTCTGATCACACTTCTTATATTTATTAAAGTATTATTTAATCTTTTGGGAATATTAATTGAGTAGCCGAGTTCTTAGTGTGATAAATCGATGATGTAAGATGAGTCAACAGTATAAATGCAAGCTGGCCTCATGAATAATGTTGATTATTATGTGATGTCATCATGCCTTGATTTACTTCTCTTATATGGCCAGCACAGTATATTTTTGGCCATTTAAATGTTTCAGATATGGTCAAGTACTATTTTGTATATATAAATGTGTCTCTTTTCTCCCTTCATCGAACCTTTGCATATTGTGTACCGCAGGCTTCTCAAGTTCTTCGTATAATAACTTTTTATTCTACACAACTTCCTGGTCCAAACTACCACTGCCGTGAGGTATGTATGGCAACATCTTTTATACATTTCTTTTTCATAGATTGTTATAATTTTAGTCTAATTGATCATCGTGCAGGGGTCTAATCTTGCCACATTACCTCATCCAGATAGTGTCTTTGAAGTGCTCTTTCTCAATTGTTAGTATACATTATTGTACTGAAGTTGTTTATATTTGATTTTTCTTTGTTTGTTTCTGGTACTTATTTCAATTATTATGTGCAGTTCCACGTGGTGTGGTCTATGGATGTGGTGATTTGATATTCTCATCGCACATGATCTTTACTCTTGTTTTTGTGCTCACGTATCAGAAATATGGCACTCGAAGGTTAAATTGGCTTATAAATGTCTTCCATCTTGTTTTTGTTGAAGAATTAAGTATGTCACAAGATTTTACTTCAGCAAGTTTTGTTTGGATAATTTTTGCTGTAACATTTTTTAACACCCTATATAATCGTTTGGCATTACAAAATATGTAGGTCACACACCTTATTTAGTGAACGTCACTGTAATTTTCAATAAATTTTAATGAACTAGAAAGAGTGTTGGTGACACTCATTTTATTCAGTCTTTCATGTAGCATGCTTTGTTATGTATATTTACATTCTGATTTGTTGAAATTGATCAACCATTAGGTCAATAAAGCAGCTTGGGTGGCTGCTTGCTGTGGTTCAGAGTCTTTTGATAGTAGCATCACGCAAACATTACACTGTCGATGTAGTTGTTGCCTGGTAAGCTGCATATTTTTCTCTATAACGTGAAACCCGTGGCCTGTGTTCCTTATGAGTTTTTCTTTTTAATTTTTTTTGCATGGCTGGCAGGTATACTGTTAATTTGGTGGTATTTTTTATTGACAAGAAATTGCCAGGTAAGCAAGCATTTGTCACACGTACATAATTACATAGCTATTGTCTTTTACTTTGCTGCTATTTGTTATTGTTCTGACTTGTTATTCTGCAGAATTACCAGACAGGTCAATTGCAGCTGCAACGTTGCTACCGTTGAGCATCAAAGACAAAGATGGAAGGACCAAAGAAGAGAATCACAAGCTATTAAATGGGAATTCTGGAGACCCCCTAGATTGGGTATCTTGAATATGCTTGTCCTTTCCTTTGTTCCTTTAATGTAATGTCTTTGTCTTTGATTTGGACATAACATGGTTGTTTTGATTTGCTCAGAGGCAGAGAACTCAAGTGAATGGCAAGATCATGGAAGATGGCAATACACTCCATGTAGACTCTGCCATGAATGGTGCATAGATATAGGACCCTCTTCTGTACAAATTGGATCCACTTCAAGATTGCTGATGGAAAGCTGCAACATTCAATTTGAAGAATTTGTTGTCTGAACATTCAGTTGTTTATTCAAATTAATAGCATGATTTGCATTTGTGAAATTGAAACTGGGTTGTGCATTTCAACGTTTTGCAGCTCAGATCCCATGTCATAGTTAAATTATCTATTCACAACACCATCAGCATGTGCCATAGAAAATTTCACATTTCCTTTTTTACCCACATCAATGATCCCACATGCATATTGCTGTATACAGTCTTTTGGTTGTTAAATCTCCTTTGCATTCACATGGTAACTAGCTCAATGTGATAGGCCCTGTCATGTAAAAGTAAGGGAAACTCTAATTCTAGACCAACTTGCCTAGTTAAAGTAGGATGCAATGTTTCTAATGTTTTATTTAGTCTTTTTACTTGTTGAGAAAGGGTAGAAAGTGGAAATTACCATTTATTTGGGGGTTTAGTATCTGTGAAATGATTACTTTGTTTGTAATCAAGAGGAACTAACACAAACGTGACTTATTCTTAAAATTTGAAACGGTGACAAGTGACGTTGAGCTAGCACATGATGCTTTGACAGTGCATGTGCTCCTTTACGCATAACAATACTTTTATGTCCGTTGTCCCATTCATTGTCCCTCGTCTGCAAACTCCTTTTGAATGTTTATAGTACCCTTATATTCAAATAGTTTCCCCTTACCAACTGGAACTCATTGCAGATGCAGCATGTCACATGGTTCACCCCCTACACCGCTTAACGCATTTTGTGGCATTTTCCTTTGTTGAAGCACTAGGCCTAATAGAAGGAAAACATTGTTTTACACCAAAAAAATAACCATTTGACGATCTGGAGAACTAAAATGGTTATAAAAAAAGAAGTAAACTTTTGTATTGGTAAAGAAAAAGGGAGTGAAGGATTCTAAAAGATAGTGTCATGTAGATGTAAAAACTTTCTTTCCTAATATAATGAGGGGCACTGATATTCAACATTATACTGAGTGCTAGCTCCGAGTTGCTTTCAAATGTGACGTCATTTGTTTGTCCAAATAGGCAACAATAGGATATTGGAAGGAATGAAGATGCAAAGGCTAAGGAGGTTGATATATGTGAGTCCCGGGGGTAATAAGGAAAATTTACAAAAAACGGTAGTTTACTCTGCAATTACAAAAAAAAAATGGGGTAGTTTACTTTAAAATTTATAGTATAAGGGTAAGTAGTGATGACTTCCAAATTAAAGTCGTCGTGGTAGTGAAGATGATTTCTTTATCAAATTGTGAAAATGTGAAGTAGTTAGGAATGACGATGACTTTTATGTAAATATGTTGAACAAAAGTTGGTGGTGATAACAACTAAGTTAAACCAAAATCATGCTAACTTATGATGACTTCAGTTGTGCATAGTTTTTAAACTAAATTCATAGTTAGTGATAACAACTTCCATTACTAAACCAGGTTTGTTTGATGAGCTTGTCGAGTTTTTCTATGTTGTCGAGCTTACCGAGTTGAAACCGAGCTTGTCGAGATGAGAAGAAGAAGAGAAACAATACTTCTCTTATTGATTATAGGAATAGGAAAAACTACAAAAAGAAATACAGTAAAAAAAAGTAGTAGAAGAATATATATATATATATATATATAT